AAAAATCCCGGAAGGGCCACTTAAAACAATAAGCACGAATAGTTGCTATGAACCAAGGCTCTGGTTTCGAAATTATCATTATTAAACACGGTAGCATTAATTAATACTGTGAGTGTATGTATTAGTGCTATGAAGAGTCCTACTTGCTAAAAAATTGCAAACTAAGCAATAAACCATATCCGCCATCTGAGTCAGCAAGGTAGCTCACGTGCCTCACTTCCCTTGCCCGTTACGCAGCCTGGTCTGCGACTAGTGGCTGCACTGCTTTCATCAAAAGTCCATTCCAAGCGAGTGTTGTGTTGCATTCTATGACGGCTTCGTTAGCTAATTACATTAAAATATTCAAATCGGATTGGTGGTCCCCACGACTTTTAATTTGGGAAATTACACATTCTAATCCAACACAAGTTTCGCTGCTAAATGGGAGCAACCAAATCCGATTACGGAACCAGCTGGATTAACAAACCGTCCACTTTCTTAATCCCTTCTTCCTTCTCACTTCTATCTGCCGTCTCTTTCCTCAAAAGACTCCGACTTCAGACTTCATTTAGTGGATAGGCATCCACTCCCCGCGGGTCATTTCACTCCATTTCCACTCGACCTTTTTTTCTTTTGAATTTGGAATCTTGAAAAACCCTTTCTTCACATTTTCATCATGTGCCCACGAGATTCGTTCCCCACCACCACTTTCATTGCCCACATTGTTCACTCTCATCATTTCTTTTAATCTTCTTAATGCTGGCAGCATCCCGGTGCCCCTGAAGCTTAAACACCAACACTCCCACTTCTGATAAAACTAGTGTGAACAGAGATACAGCAATTTCGCCCCCCCCCCCTTTTTCCAGTTCTTTCCTTTCTTCCTTTTTCAAAGAAAACATAATTTTACCCGAACTGTGGTATATTTATGCCCGGTCACATTGATTGTCACATGCTCCGAATAAAATAACACTTTTTTTTTTCCCTGCCTTGTGTAGCTGTCGGATAAAGATGTTGGCCAATTCCCTATCACTAGATTAACACCAAATGATGCATCTAATCTAACCTGATACTATTTTGGTCAGTCCCGTCGGCTGGTTGGGCTGGTGTGAACTTGAACTGGAGTGATTGATTCCCTCTTTCAAATATTATATGTATTTCGCAGACCGCCTTAGACGTCATGCGAGTGATTAAAGTGCGTGGTTTGGGTTGGATTTCACTGCATTTTCAACGATTCAAGAAGGTGACATGTCTTTTGAGACTGCCTTTCCGGGTGAAGCTGAGGTCATCGTCAATTCGTCACCCAGCCCACAATTTGCGCTCTTGAATCCCATGTGGATCCGGCACAGGATAAATTTGGTCATCATGGAATCCCACCTGCTTAAGCCATGGAATTCGTAATTCATGCACTCGAAACTAAAACTTGACAACAATCCGATCAGCTCCGAGGCACACTTATACGTTTTGACTTTTCCATGTGAGATAAATACACTGAATAAGCTGCATTATTATAGTAAGCAGACAAGATTATAGAATTCGCTCAAACCGTCACGAGGAAGCTAAAATGAATCCTCGCTCGGCCGATTTAGGATGAAACGGGCCGACGTAATGGTCCTGAATTGGGCTGTTTTAGAGCCCAAAATTTGTAGTTAATTAAACACACAAAAACACTAACCTTTTTTTTTCCCTTCATTGTGACGACACTAAACACTATTTATTCTCTCCTACTATTTCTTTTAAATATCTCTGGCAAATGGAGAGTTAATTGCACAAATTTAGTGTATATCCCAATAAGGAGTAAAATTGTTTTTTTTTTTATAAAAAAAAAACTGAGTGATGGTTATTTTAAAATACAAATAAATATGCAAAAAGGAAGTTACTCCTTGACATTATTTGCATTATTATAGGATTTTATTTTTTATTTATTATTGTGTGAATTATTATTTTATTAGAAAGTGTGTATGTCACCACTAAACGGTTAAAGTTGCTAAGTTTTAAAACAGGGGTAATAAGTTTAAGAATTTTTTTTTTATTTCAGTAAAAGATGTTAAAAATAAGAGAAGTAATATGATATGGAGGGAGAAATTTCATACGCGGGTAAGCTGGGAATATGAAAGGCAAAGGCATGGATAATGAGCCAATGAGAATGAGAGAGCAGTGGGGATGATATCCAGAGGAAAGCAGATCGTAACAAATATTAGCTGGATTAGACCCCATTCAATAAATGTTCTGTTGTAGAGAACTCAATTCTTAATGCAGAGTGAAACTGTGAACTAGGCAGCGGAGTTGAGGAACCAATTTCAGACTTTAATGAGCACCTTACACTCATCATATATGAATTGTTCATATCTTATTTGAATGATTCAAATTTAATTTTTTTTATTTCTTTAAAATAATTATTTTAATATATGTATTTTAAAATAGTTATTATCATTCTTTCAAAAATAATTTTTTATTTTAAAATAATTAATTAAAAATTTAAAATATAGAACTGTTCAAATCAGATATAAACTGTCTAGATTTGATTAGCTTACAGTGATGAGTACTAAAAATAGTTTCGGAAAGATAGATGGTTGAGTTGTGAAACCCAGTTTCAGTACTCATCATTTTGATAAGCACTCTAAGCTTATCAGATCTAAATTGTCTATATCTAATTTGAACTGTCATTTTTAAAGTCTTTAATTAATTATTTTAAATAAGAAAAAATGGTGAGAATCCACATCCCATTGTTGCTACTTCCACAGCAATGTCTATTTAAACGAGACAAAGGACTAAAAGAGGTGACCGACTATTAATGAATGGAGAAACGAGGCGCGAAATTGATTAGGGAAGAGGGAGAAAGCCACGACCTGCACGACAACAGTGAAGCACAAGTAGGTGTAGGATTAGGTTTTTTAAAATTATATAAAACGAATTTTTTTTATTGTAACAAATAATTAACGTAATAAAAAAATTATAATAAATAATTGATGTGTTGACGATGAGACCCTCCTGTAAATCGGAGAGGAAGGAGCATAAGGATCAAGTGAACCACAGCTCCACAGGTATGAGCTCAAATACTTGTTAAGAGGGATGAGTAACAGATCTGTTTGGATGGTCAAAATCTCATTCATTTTTTTTTATTTTTACAACAATTAGTTTAACAGGTATATAACTTAAATAAAAACAATCCCTCACCAATTAATTTTTAAAAATGATTTTTTATTTTAAAAAATAATTAATTAGAAAATTTAAATCTCGCAGCCAACTTTGTTGTTCTTGGGTCAAAACTCAAAAGGGTCACAGGCTGACAGCTTTACTGTTGTTGCGTGCCGGTCGCAGGTGGCGAATCTGAAGGATATGAGAGAGGCACAGCCATCGGAGCTTTCAAATCTTGACGGTGTAGCCACCATTCTGGCCATCGGCACCGCCAACCCCTCCAATTTCACCTATCAACCTGACTTTCCCGATCTGTACTTCCGACTGCTTTAGCTTTAATTTAGGTTCTTAATCTGTATGCGTGAGTGAGCAATCAGATTCCAGTCAGTTAATTCAATGAAGCTTTTGTGCGCTGTTTTATGCATGCCTCGTCTTGCTGCTTGTTTGCTTCTGAATAATAACGATGGTATTTCTCAATTTGTCAGGTTAATCACATATAATTCAAGGCTTTTCTCTAATTTTTTTGGTTTGATTTGATTACTCATAATGAATAAATAAAGAGTAATCATGTAATCATAATGATGTGAATTGAACGAAATCATGTCATAGATCTGCGTCTAATTTTTAATTTGAAATATATATATATATATATATTGTTTTCTTGCGCGTGTATCCAGTGTTCGGAGCCTTTCGACTAATTTCTTTAGATGGCTTGAACGTAACTGTAACTCCTCAGTCTCGCTAATATTCCATAACGTTGTCATTTTTCTTTTTTCAAAGAAACGCGCACTGAATTTTATCCATAAGTTTTACAGAAGATATAACTCCCAGGGCGGATCAAGTTTAATTTTAATATTTTTGAAATCCAATTGCCCTTGCGAATCGAGTGTGGACAATACCAGTATTACCAGAACTGAGTTTTTTTTTTTTGGGGGGGGGGGGTAAAATACCGGAACTCAGTTTGCTAGTATGAAGCTACATTGCGCGCAATAACACGAGGAAGGAAAGCTTTAATTACTCCTATATTGGTAGCAGTCTTCGTTACAGTCGGGCGTCACTTTGCAATTTGCATAGGCTTTTATGGGGTGGAAGACCTCCATTGTTTTAAGAGAAGTGGATAAGCACAATAAAAGCATCATGTATTATATCTTCAGTGCATATGTCCTTCACGGATCCGCCGCCAGGGACCCACTCAACACCGATGGCTTTGAAATTACAAATTAGAATCTGCCCTTTGTTCATTCTTTTCATCCTTTCGGGAAAAAAATTGCATTCTCTCTTTTCATTCATCCATTTGTATATAAAAATAATCTAATTATAAAGTTGTAAGGGAAAATTATAGCCTAATTTTATAACTGTAATCTATAGCATCTCATGACCGGATAAATAGTTTTCTAATCTACCAATTTCGCTGAAGGCCAAATCAGTGGTGGTTCACAGACAAAAGGACGTTCTCAAACTGGGTCGGGTATCACATCGCTTGAAGTCTGATCCGGCCTCGACCAATACCAGGTTTCGGCAGGTCGGTTAATGAAAAATTGGGCGAAACAGTCTTTAAAGCGCTGGACTGTAGAGGAAAGGTTCAAAAAGCATTTTACCTCGAACAAGGAGCAGTAACTGAGAATAAGGTATGCATTAAAATGGTAATCCTGAGGTCCAAAGTAACTGTTAAATTTTTGATTACAAATTAACAGGAATTTAGATTTTACAGATCTAAGGAACATCCCAACCCAAAATGGTATGATCCACATGGAACAAAGTAAGCAGCCATTTAATAGCAATCGCATCTGTCAATTGATAACTCCTCCATTTACTAGGACTCCGCTCATCATAGTTTCTGATGATGCTAGCTGCCTTCAAAAGTCCCTCTATTATCCTGTCTTTCCATGTCATGTACATTGAAGTCAGCAAAATCTACAACAGTTATACAGCCTACCAAAATATCAGTCATCCAAACAATGCAGTGTGAAATAATTGGATATTACTTTACTAGCGCGAACCTGAAAGAAATTAAAGCAATTACTAAAATAACTAGGAAGCACACAACTTCCTCTACATCCCAAATGCAGCCAAGTCCTCTTCCAAATTCAAAGTATTGGCTGCAGTTAAAAGCATGTCCATTCCTCCACCTTTATCCAAATCTCTTCCGTGTTTACCATTCCAATTTTTTTCAAATCTGTCCACTGGTTTTGAACCATCTTCACTTGCCTTTCTCTGCTTTTTACTCTCATATACCTTTTTTGCCCGGTGTATTGCTCGTAACCCTGTATGACATTTTATGCAGAACCATTTTCCTTTGGGAATAGCAGCTCGGGGAGGTTTCATGCAATATATGTGGTATGCATCATCACATCCATCACAGATAACAATCTTATTATCATCTTTATCAGTGAGACAAACTTGGCATAAGCAAGAAGGGCAGTACCAACAGGGACCATATGATGTCAACTGTTTACTTGTCAAACATCTTACATGGTAGTACTTACCATCGCAGGCAGAGTGACCACAGATTTTAATTCTTTCACCATCCACCTCATTTTTACAAACTTTGCAGATCATGTCGATTTTCCCCCTTCTAGATGCTTGAGCCCCATCATAGGTGCAATTTGAATTCTCTTCCAATTCATTAATTGTTTCATCATTTACAGGGGAGTTTTCATCAAAGTTCAGGGTCTTGGAGTCATTCAACCTTTCACATACTACACAGTTTTCATGTGGAGATCCAATTCCAATGGCAGTGCATTTGACACAGTACCAGCTCTTGTGGGGTATCTCTTTGACAGGAGGTTCAATGCAGGAGATATGGAACATCTCCTCGCATGAATCACAAACCAAACAGTCTTTCCCATCTGCTCTGTTTCCACAATGCCTGCAAGTGCACATCTTATACACGCCACAGTCTTCTGTCTGCTCCGGTTTCATGTGAGAATCAGATTCCTGGTTACAGAACTGCTTGACACAAGAAGGTCAAAATAATCTCAAAGACCGTTTTAGAAATTCTCTCGTGCAAAAACTCATCATATGAAATAATTGCATTCGTTACTGAAAGTGCAACAGGATCAAAGAGCAGCGCTTTTATGGTATGAACATATCATATGCATCATTGACGACAAAATCTACAGAACCCAGAAAGATAGCAGAAATGACTTTCAGACAGAAAGATCCCAAGCCAAACCCGCTTAATCTTGGATGTCAAAGGCAAAACAACATCTACATTCTTCAACTCCTTTCTTTCTCAGAGAACTATGAGGTATGCCTATAGTATTGTGTCCGGAATGCAGGTGATCAATTTTTCGGTTCATGAAGCAACTACAGTTGACAGTCATAATGATTTGCACAAGAAGTAAATTAGGTAAAATGCAGTGGATAGTGGCTCAAGTATGACAAGGTTGGGAATTCAGTGAAACTTTTTGCAGATTAAATAGACAAAACACCAACTGCTGCTATAGTTGTGATCTGAGGCCTCTTTTGATATGCTTAATGAAAATGAAGGGAAAGGTAAATAAAATGAGGGGAAAGTTCATAGATGAAAATGACTCTCGCACCTCTATTTAGAGAAAGTAAGAAGGAATAAACACTGCTAAGTGATTATAACAATTATAACTTACCAAAAAAAAAAAGAAAAAAAAAAGGACAGAATGGGAATCTCTTCCCATCTTCATACCATACAACCCGAGAGAAAAATCCCTGAATAAATAATTGATTTTAAGCTGTGGTATCTCCATAAAATCATCTCATGAAACGCCAGTAAATAAAAACTCTCACCTCCAGTTTTCCATCTTTGAATGCGCCATGCACGGAAACTCCAGCCTGAAGGTAAGGACAAAATATGGTTTAGTATAGCAAAAAGCGGATTATGAAACTTCAGTGTTTCAGAAGTACAGGAATTTGCTTTACCTGCTCACAATAAGTTCTCGAAATGTTTGAAAGGCCCTTGGCAAGAGAAACAATCTCATTACCGGCGTCTTGAAGTTTTCGCCAAACCTTAAAATATCCATCATTTTAAGTCATATTAAATAAGCACCAGCAATCAAATTCTTCAATTATATGCTCAAGCTAGAAACTAATATAAAAGGAGCAAGCCAAGAGAGACCCTCCTATGTTATATTAGTAAACCAAGTACAAGCTCTCTTTGCAGCAAGACACAATAAAATAATTGGTTCAACACAATTTATATAATTAGTAACAAATTGAGACAGTAAAAGGCAGAAAAACTGATACGACACCTCCAACACCTAACAGACTTAACAGGGTAAAATCGTCAAAATAGATTCAATGCTCAATCAATATTAGCAAGATAATAGCAATCCGTTGATTGTTAATGCAAATGGCATCAATTTTGGAACTCCTTGATCAAAGAATACAAGAAATTGGTCCTGCCATTACAATCCTCGTACCTCCTCAATTTGGGAGGAAGTATCTTTCTTAAAAGATTGATTTCTCAAGTTTTCCAAATCATTACCAGAAATTATACTATTAAGAAGCTATCTACTTAGCTTTACTCTGCGGTGGAGCCATTGAGCATGCCAAACAAATTTTAGGAAAAACACACACACACACGCGCACACTAGTTTTTCTCTTGTGTTTTAGACAGTGCTCAAAGATGGAGGGGGGCAAGGTTTCCCCCCCCCCCCCATCAAATTAACATTATTTCAAGAATAATGCTTTGCTTCTCCTTTCAGATTTTAAGGTTATCATCTCACAGAAAAACCTAAGCAATGGAGCTGCCATTGTCCACACGAGGTCATCCTATTTAACTCAGATCAGGATGGAATCCTCTGAAACTGAGGCTTTATTACTCGGATGGTGACCATGATGGGCAATACTACAGATAAACAGTGAAAGTGCAGAGAAGGGGAGAAAGGCAGCATGTTGTAACCCTCACTTTTGGCTGGACAGAAGCCACCTAAGATGACTGTCGACTTCACCAACATTTTCTATTTACATAGAGTAAGCCGGTAGGTAACAGCCTTCCCCCACCCCAAAAAAAAAAAAAGGCTTTAATTTGGCTTTTGAAACATTTCTAATGTCATTTGTAAGAAAATTAAAAATATCTTACTGCCCACGCACTTCACATCTAACTTTCAATTTGTATCAATTACTAAGTAGGAACTCATCCCAACCTTAACGGATGAAGATAGTACTTCTGTCCATTCTGAGATCCTAGTAGTGGAAAGAAAAAAGAAAAGTATAGACGGCTTTAGTTTGGGAATTTCACAAAGTTCAACAGTAAGAATAAAGTAACTAAAAAGAAAAAACTACTAAAAGTGTTACAAAGTAGAGTTATTGATCTGGCAGTTATTCACAATAAACTGTCTGACTTTATAACTTTGAGGGTATACTGGCATACATAATTCATCTTTTCCAAGAATAAGAGCCAAAAACTAAAGAAAAATAGGCATGGCAAATATGAATTTATGACACACAAGTCAGTCAGGGGGGGTAAACAGTGATACAGCGGAGAACTACTCAATAGAGGAGATCATGAATTGGATAAAATAAATGAACAGACTATAAAATGGAAATTTCAAAGCAAGAAGGGAGACAATAACAATACAATACATAGCCCAATTACAGAAGCAAGGAACACAAACCGAGAAGAAAAACAGAGAAGGTGTCACATAAAACAGAGAAGTTGATGAAATTACAAATGCAGAATATTACCTGTTGAATATCTGACGAAAAAAGTGTGGGCGACTGTTCATAAGCTTGCTCTTTCAACCTTGAGTTTATGACACTGAAGTCAAATACAGTTTCAGGCTTCATTCCTTTGAAATTTTCTAGTAGCACCTTACATAACGAACTGAATTTCTCAGAGACTAAGACATTACATAGTACACGCTGGCACATCTCATTTGCATCAGGAGCATCCGACTCGTTACAAGATCCATTGCGAAAGACATTTGCATGCCCATTAAGATTCTTCCGTAATCTATGAGACGTCAGTTCTAAGTGTGGAGAGTAATCTTGTCCAACTTTGTCAATTCTACAAGTTTCCTGAAACAAAATGAGATGCAACATAGAATAATGCATTAAGAAGGGAGTCATAAAAGCCCAGGATATATGCAGTTCTTGTTGTAGAACCAAACCTTTAAAGTAGTGGCACAACTAATTTTAGCATAGCGCATGAGAGCTTCCCTCATGCACTCTTCTATGCCACCTTTATCATTGCCTAATGACTGATACAACTGCATTAGTACAACATTTCCCCAATGTGCATGTGAATGCTTATCCGAAGTATTTCCTATGGCTACATTACATGGTTTCTTTACAGCCTGCAGTAAGAAAAGTCCAATCACCGCTTTGCAGAAAGAACCAACAGATTTGTATATCTAATGATTCGAGTTGATTGTGTGCCATGGGCGAAATCATCTCAAGTATAATATTTTAATTAACAAAACAATAGCACCTTTTTCATATTAAAGAGGATGTTATGCAACTGGCAATAATACCATCCACAATCATGGCATGCCTGAACTGAACCAGGCAAATTAGCCCCCTCATGGAAGTTTCAGCATAATCCATTATCAATGTATCCAATTAGACCACTGTCTCAGTGTTTTAAGTATCATCACACCTCAACTCCATAAGAACGTAGAATAAATGTTTGTTGCAACACTACTTATGCAGAAAGATCAGATCTTAGCCATGCCCAATGCAAATGAAGTTTATTCTCTTGCTGTCAAAATTACAATGAATGACTTCCACTGATTGGATTCAGAAATCTAGTATATCCTTTTTTCCTGGTGCTTGAACACCTAAGTACACAGATCCTTCGATGAACTAACTTATTTATGCACAGAATGAATTTTATCTGAAGAGTAGCGTATGTGGGGTTTATCCTTTACAAAGACCAGTGATAGCAAATAAATGATCCGGAATCAGGATCCTTTCGTGTTTGCCTGTTCTCAGCAACTTTATGTCCTTAAATCACAATGCTAAATAGTAACCTACGGTTTCCAAGACATGAATTAAGTATAATATTGACTTCGAATATAAAAAGTGACTCCATAGAGCATTAAAAATTAAGAGCAACACACAAAAGCACACACTCATGGACATGTCAATAGCATTTTATCTTCCGATAAAGCATTAACATCAATGCAAGTTTAATATCTCTTAATTTTCATATTCTAAGGATCATCATTCAAGGTTAATGTGTGCCTCCCCAAATCATATAAAAAGTTTTGCAGGTTACATCTCCAACTATTCCTCAAGATGCAAAAAGATAACACATCGTTATCCAAAATAATGATTAAGAAAGATTGGCATTAAGCGATGCAATGCAGTTGGAAAAGCAGGGGAATAAAACCTGGCCAGCTATGTGACTTGCAGCTTCTGAGTATGTTCTGCAAACTTCTTGAGCTTTCCTTTCTGAATTCAACTTTACATGCTTACGTCTCTTGTAAGTTCGAAAGCTTTCAACTACGCCACAGTCCCCTTGAGCAGCACCATTCCTGTCTGCAATAACCACCCCATTATTCACAGCTTCACAATTAAAGCGCTGAATCCCTTTCTTAACATCATTGCTATCTGCAACCCCATTATTTACAGCTTCACTCTTCAGGCACTGAACTGCTTCAGAACATTCTGTGTTGTCCCCGTTGCTTGTTCCATCCTCAGTTTCCATCCTTCCACCGCGAAAGAACCCAACTCCTTTACCTTGGCAGCAAGAAATTAGGGTTCACAACGAACAAAGCCTTCAAAGATCCGAATCTCTCGAGATTTATTACTCAACATCTTTACAACGTGATAGCACGAAAAACTCAAATAAGCAGAGGTAAGGGACTAGAAGTTAAGACAGGCCGCTGAGTTCCGTAAGAACACAAGAAACCAAAAAGATGACAAAAAATGCAGCTTAAAGCTCTAAGCGAAATGTTACTTGCAATTCAAGGGGGGGAAGAATTGAACAGAGCCAACACCGTCACTGCGCCACAATATTTCGCAGAGACAAAACTTAATAAATTTACAGAACACTAAACACTCCAAAACGTTCCCTTCTCCACATCCAACGGTTTGTCAGAAACCAAAGAGAAAACTACCGAGACGAAAATACAAACACAGTGATTAGCTTAGAGAAAAACATGGCTTACAGCTACGGAAGTTGAAGCCCTAGCAATCGAAATCCCAGTAAATCTGAGTTTGCGAGCGCGGGTGGACTTGGTTCTCTGCAAGGGTCTTATCCGAGTCATCCAATTTTTGAAACAGGAGCGTCCTTCGTCCTTCGCTGGTCATTTGCTTTCTTTGTAATTTTTTTATGATCCATAATAAAATACGCAAGATTTTGGCTGCCGATTTGGGTCGGGTCATTTTCCTGCATGCGGTGACCCGACTTCGTTATGGATATTCAACCTTTGATTGTTTTTCCCCGTCGCGACCCGTACCCAACCCTCAGTACCAGAAGTTCCTTTGAAATCTGGATAAAATAAAAATTCTATAAGAAGAACTCCTTTCAGGGTCGAATTTTGTGTCGGTAATTCCAATAATTAATACTCTTCGGATTCTAAATATAAGGTCTTTTTTATAGTGTAAAATCATAGTGTAATTTATACTATGAAAGGGGTTCTATATTTAGAACTGAAGAAGTATATAATCTTTAGAGCTTAATATGAGCACAGGAATGACTGCATCAGACGAGGAGTTTGTGCTTAATTTTTAGTATGATTGTTGATTGGTTTAGTTTAACCCTTTCTTTTCCCTTTTCCCGCCTGTAATCCTGTAGTAAATGAAAGAAAGTAAAGGGGAAATTACAATCAAATCCAATAGAAGAGAAATAATTATTAAAAGATTCTAATAACAACCTTAACAGTTTATAATAACAAGTCCTATAGTGAAAATAATAATCTCTAGGATTTGTTTTTTAATTTTTTTTCTTGTCTGGGATTTTATTGTAATACTCCGAAAATAAATAGTAATGTCAATCCCAGCTGCCGTTAGTTCGCGGTAAAATAAAACAATTTTGAGTCTAAAACTGATGCAGTTAAGCACTGTGCTTAATAAACCCAGGTTTTTGGATTTTTCTTGCATTGCGTATTCATACGCCTTCATGGAAGAGATCGCATTGGAAAATTTACAGCTGCTGAACAGTATTAGCTTAATGATGAATTAATGTCTTATTCGATTGATATTTGATAATTTCACAAATCAACCGAGCTTCAAAATTGGGAAAATGGCAATTAGGTCCCACTCAAGGGAATTAAATACAAAAAAGTCTCTTGAAATCATGAAATTATTTTAAAGTCCCAAAAAAAATTTTGTATTAAATTTTATTTGTTTACTTACCAAATTACCCTTCTTTTTTTTTTTAAGTTTGTATTGACAATTGAAAAAGCAGTGGTTGACAACTGAGAGTGTAAGGATTGACAACTATCGTGGTTAGTTTGACAACTTATGGTGTGATATGCTGAGAAAATGTGTTGTCAAACTAGCCGCGATAGTTGTCAATCCTTGCACCCTCAGTTGTCAACCACTGTTTTTTCAATTGTCAATGCAAACTTAAAAAAAAAAAAAGAAGCGTAATTTGGTAATTAAGCAAATAAAATTTATTGCAAAAAATCTCTTGGGACTTCAGAATAATTTCATGATTTCAAGAGATCTTTTTACATTTAATTCCCTTGAGTGGGACCTAATTGCAATTCTCCCTTCAAAATTTTTCATTACCAACAGAAAGGAAAGATTCAGCGAATTTGATTTTAAAAAAAAAGATTATTTTAAAAAGGATATCATTTTAATAGTGACTTATGATTGACTTGTTTTGCGCCAACATAAAACTGGATGCGGAAAAAAGTTTTAAAGATTGCCTTGCTATGTTTTGACCAAAAAAAAAAAAGATTGCCTTGCTATGATAAATTTCTCCTAAATTTTTGAGAAAAATAACAAAAGTTATTTTTTAATTTTTTTTAAATTATCGAATAAGTAAAAGTAGCATGAATCATAAAAATGTCAAGCGAAGAGAAAATTTTGGTCGAGCAATTACGCTTAAAATATTGTTTACCAAAAGTCCTCACACGAACAGAATCCGTCCCTAAAATGATGAAAAAGGTTTGGGTCCTTGAGAATGATTTCTCTTCCGGTGGTCTTGGAAACGAACTTGGCAAAATCGTGGCACCCATGGCATACCGTGAGGTTTTTGGTAACACGTATGGGTCCAGCTCGTGAACTGATAAGTCCAAAGGAAATTGCCAATAGTTCGCTGTGTCCAATCGGAATGCACTCCCGCTCTTCATAGACGTCATGGAGGTTGAAATCCCAAGTGGGCTCAATTCCTTGGATACTCATCTCCTCCACGAAACGCTGTAATTCCGAATATATTCCCTCTGATCTGGGGTGCGATACATCCCCCGTTCCAAAGACATGAACTTTATTCCTGAACACGATCCAAGAATAGGCTTTTCTGGGTTTCAAACCCATGTCTCTGATCGTTTCCCTTAATTTATCTACCATGTGCCACTTTGCATTCCCAGCATACCCATTCAGAAGTAGCACGTAATTATCAGCATTTAGAGGTTCCAAATCACAAAGTTGCTCAACCACTCGCCTCCCTAGAGTATCTTGTCGGTGAATCCGGCACCCTTCTAGCAATTTTCTCTGCACCTCAGCATGCTTTCCAATATTGTGTTCCTTAATAAAGGCCACCGCCTCATTAAAAAGCCCAGCTCGGGCTAGCAGAGCAACCATTAAAGCATAGTGAGCCACTATGGGTGACCTTACGCGGTTGAAGTAAAACTTGCCTTCCTCAACAAAGCGTGCGGTGCTACATGCATGAAGGACAGCAGCATAGGTGGTGTTATCTAAGTGTGCCTTTGAATTTTTCTCCATCCGGCAGAAAACATCAACTCCAAGCTTTCCTTGACCGTGTAGGCTATAGCCCAATATCATCACGGTCCATGTAATCACATCTTTTTCATTCAGTTCAGCGAAAATATTCGAAGCACATGCGATAGCTCCTGATTTCACATACATGTCCATAAGTGCATTCTTGAGCTTCAGGTTTAATTGAATGCCGCTCCTAAGCAGATAGCCATGAATTTCTTTACCGTGTTTATGGGAAGCGATTCTACCACAAGCCGGGAGAATGCTGGCGACTGAAAGCGAATCAGGCTTCAAACCATTCCAGTTCATCCGTCGAAATAATTTGAGACCTTCGTTGAATTCTCCTATCCTCACATACGAACGAATCATTAAAGTCCATGATATAACATCCTTGAAAGTCATCTGATCAAACATCAACCGAGCATCTTTTAAACTGCCGCAATCTATATACATTTTCACGAGCGAATTACTTACTAAAACATCAAACTCTAACCCAAACTTCTTGGCAATCTCGTGTAAAAGTTTTCCTTTTTGCAGAGATTTTAGCAATCCACAGGCACTGGTTGCTGTTGCTAAGGCAACTGGATCAATAGGCACCCCGAGATCCACCATCTGATGGAATAAATCAAGGGTCGAACTTGGTTTTCCCTGATCAATGTATAATCTAGCAAGTAGCGTCCAAGACACTAAATTCCGGTGGGGAGACTTGTCGAAGATCAACTTAGCCATTTCCACGCTATCTAGATGCCCATACATCTCAATCAAAGCGGTAATAGCGTACTGGTCAGAGGAGAATCCGAGTTTCAGAGCTTGCCCATGAACCTGCCTACCAATGGATAAATCGCCCAATAGACGAGTAGCAGCAACCACGCGAGGAAGAGTATGTCTATCAGGATGAACTCCGCGGAGTAGCATTTGATCGTAAGTTGATAATACACTGTCGAAATCTCCATTTGAGAGATGGGTTTGAATAAGATTATTCCAAGCGAATGTGTCCCAAATAGGTATTTCATCGAACAATTGGCGGGTCAGACCTCTGGGCGCCACAAAAGGACCGCCGCAGCACCGGAGATTACGAGGTCGTCTCACTTGGACCGTGGTCATTGGTTTCTGTTGCGAGGCGAAACAGAGAACCGTCGCCGATTGGAGGATGTCCATATCAGCTCAATGCAGCGTGGATTATGTCCTTGTTCCGAAGAAGCGAGGTTAAAAGGGTGGGGAAGAAAAAAGCAAAGAAAGAAGAGACAAACTGAACTTCCTAAATAGAGAAGATGCTTGAAGATTCAGTGACGATTTCATGGAGTGACTCGTGTTTTCAATTTCCTCCGGCAACCCGTTTCCAAGTGCAGATTTGTTTGTGATCTACCGTCCCGTCCCGTCCATAACTAGTTATCTTATAGGAGGATCAAAGGACGCAGAAGCATGAGCAGGACAGATTAATTGAACTCTACTGATCATCGGAGAATAAGAGGGAATGGTATCGCCATTAATCTATCAGATCATGAAGGGACTAAAGGGCGTAGTTCGTAAAGGTTGCATTTTCATCCGCAGCTAGCTTCCTCCTCAACCAGGCGTAGTTCCGTCCATAATTAGTTAGCTATGCATGAAGAAGGAACAGAATCGCCATGTCATCATTCTTCATAATCATAAATAGGTATTCTCTGTCATCTCCTTCCTCGATTCTTTCTTGGTTTCTCCCGTCCATCCTTGCTCCGGTGCTTCTTTGTTCTTTCCATTTCCTTTTGGTCGGGAAAGTTTGATGAGCCAAACACCCTCCGTCCACTTGTCAGCCTGTCGATGCTTTGGATTTTTCAGATGGACGGTTGAGATGTTTCGCTAATCCAAACGGTGCGTTTTCACAAGTACGCTATGCGTGCTCATCGATCCTGTGAGCAGGGGAGGCGGACTCGTTCCAATCGGATGCGTGTTTCTTCCATCATCAGCTCCGATCACGTTTGCTGCGGTCAGCACCCCGCCGCCAACTGTTCATAAAAGCAAATTACTCAGTCATTATTTTTTCTAGAAAATAAAACTCACAAGTGACATTAATTTATGGTGATGTGATTCCCCATCGCTTTCGGCATCACCAGTCTACTTCCATCCCCAGCTTTGCCCCTCCACAATTTTCACATTCGAAGATGCTAGACCTTTTCCCCATAACTCTGAATTTTATTTACACTAGCATAGTGTTTTGCCCTTAAACTGTTTTTTTAGAGCAGACTAGGTATCCTAAATTATTAACCGATGCAATGTCGCTCCTGAAACATTAGAAATGTTGGAATGTTGCCGCTGTCTTAAAAAAACAATAGTTAGTTGACCTGAAAATTAGGAAAAGATTCTAGAAAATTGTAAGTAAGTATCTTATAAAAAAATAATACTAATTAAGTCCACAAATTACAAATAA